ACAGCTGAATGCAATCCAGCACAACAGCTCTGCCACACATTCAACCATTACAAAGCTTATAATAGACACTTTTTGATACAACTTTCTGAGAGGTTTTAATTCAACTGTCGATTTATTAGTTTTACAAAATACAAATGTATTGGTGTTGTACTGAACTGCATGATACCCCTCATGTTTGTAAGTGCGGTGGGCAAAACATGAGAAACACTTCTCAGTACGATGCAGTCAGTTCATCACCACTGCAAACCACAAACAAGTGGTACAGGCGTATCTAATAGAACGGCCACTGAGTGAAATTGTTTCAGCTCTGCACAAAGCTGAAGTTGCCAGTTCAGCCCAGGCTTTCTAAGGAGACAAGGAAATACAACTGAAAAACCTCAAAAACGTAGAACAAAATTATACAAAAACTCAAATAGAAAAATCCTTGGAGGCCCTAAGACAGTCAGTGTACAAATACATTTACAAATGATAAGCAGAAAGTTACAAGAATTAAGAACAGAAGGGGTTTATAATCCAAAATGGAATTATAATAAATCCTGCACTCTGATTCTTTCTATAGTGGAATGCAACTTCAATGATGATTGAGCAGTAAAGTTGTTACTGTTGCTGTTTTCTGGGATATTGACTCACAAAAAACGCTGAGTCAAGCGAACATACAATTCATTTTATCATTGTCATCACTATCTCTGTTCTCGTCCCAGTTTTATCATCATCATTCATTTTATAAACTCTTCACAGTGATGAGCATCAGTTATCGAGAATTAAATCTTATTGAGCTTCCCTCGTGTGACGTAACAAGAATGCAGCACTTTCTGCGGTGCAGCTCTTATAGATTTTAAAGGAAGCTTTCTCTCGCTGGCTGATAGGTAGCGGCTGATGGCAGTGACTGATGCCCGGTGGCTGTAGAGGAGCCTGGGGTTTAGGTGGGAGGCGGAAAGAGGTGATGAGCCACCGGATGAGATGAGGGTAGCTCGAGTTCTTTGAGAGTGGAGTGCCGACAGGGAGAGGGTGATAAGAAAGGTGGTTATTTTGTGTTGGTTGTAAGGTATTCTTGTTAATCTCACCCATTGTTGTCTAGTAGTTGCAGCTGTAAATAAACATGTTTATATGCTTGCAGGATTACATTTGCTTTCAATTCATGTCCCACAACACTGTCAACAATTTTTCAGTTAATGCTAATTTGGACAGTCCCACGCTTTGTCTATCAAAAAAAAAAAAAAGGCGCAAATTTCCCTTGGATGTCTTTTGTTTCTAGCTTCGAGAATGAAGCCAGAGATCACATGAATTAACATTTGTTTTGGGGTATCCCATTTCCATGAAAATATTTTGTAAATTTCAGAATCAGCTCCTTGAACCGTAGCTGGTGTGTTTGTGTATGAATGAGGGATGGGAGAAAAAAACAAAAAGGAAGGGGGGAGATAAGGGGAAAGGATGATGCGAGCACAGAAGAAATTGGAGAGAAAGAGGAAAACAAACAAAAAAGCGATGAGAGGGAGAGCTAAAACAGATTATTTACCTCAGTGGGATAAACAGGGAGGCATATAGGATGGAACGAATTTGAATGACAAGGCAACTGATTTCTCTTAATTGGTTTTGACTGGCTCTCTTTGAACTGCCGGTGTGCTGCGGCTCTGTTTCCAGGCAAACAGCTATCTCTTGCAATCTGGAGTGCTGCTTAATTTCTCAGACAAATATCAAACCTCTCTCCACACTAGATTAGTTGCAATTTAATAAGATTTGCACTGTTGCTGCTCACCAGGGGTTTTTCTTCTTTTGCCTTGAAGCCTAGGGAAGCCAAACCTTGCTTTAAGGTTTTTCTGTGCTCCACCTCCTATATCAGAACACCCACACACACCACCCACATATCTGCTGCCCACCTACAGTTCCACACACTTGCATAAGAGGAAGCAAAATAAATCACTCCAAATATGTTTAAATATTGTTTTCTCTTAAACTGAGTGCAGGAACCTACCACAGGGGTGACATAATATCCCGTATTTCCAATGCAAATCTGCATTTTAAGAGTTTTCTCAAAGCGAATGAAGTATCTTGACATAAGGCTGATTCCTCCGCTTTTTTCAAGGTACCATCACTTGATCCAAGAAAACTTGAGAGTGGAGCTGATTTGCATCGAAAACGAATGACATTATCTCACCCTACAGTTTTTTCCCCCTCCCTTTGCTTTACATAAAATAAATCGCATAGTGGAATAAATGACTTTTTGAGGGGGATTTTTTTTTTGTGCAGGGGGTTTGTTGGCACAGTAAGTGCCGCCTGTCAAGACCTCAGCAAAGATGAGCTCTTCACTTGAGTGGCAGATGCTTTCTCTCAATAGGATCCACAAACATCCCAAACCCATGGCAACAAGCTTTTTGCCTCACTGTCTGTCTAGACTTTTATTGACAGCCTACAGCTAGATTAGCTGAGTCCTCGGAAAGGTTGAGAAGTCTCCTGCTGGGCACATGGCAGTTAACCCTATTTTTCCACAAGCACAGCAGACTTCAGCTAACAATGTAGACAGATACATTGTACTCTTTTCTTTTTTATCTGATCCTCTCTAGAGTCACATAACCCACAGAGAGTTACTCTGAGTTGCAGATTGATCCAAGTGAAAATGTAGAATTCTGACAGTCTTGTCAGTCTGCCGGTGGAAAATGAGCATGCTTCTGCCTATATTGGGATACTGCTTTCGCTCCCCATCACTTGATTGAGCTGTGATCAAATTAAATTTGATTAAGATTTAATTACCGAACCAACTCGCTGCACAAAAAGTCTCATCAAGTCGTCAGTGACACAGAAATGATTTTGGACATAATTTCTTGGAATCTGTCCAGCAGTGATAACTAATTCTTCTCACTTGTTTAAAACTTATCAGTATAATTTTAGATTGTTTTAAATTCTTTCTAAAGAGAGCAGTGAATGGTGGTACCCTCAATACAACTGCACTGTTATAATGGTTATTTAATCAAACCATTAACATACACTTTCCCCCCTTTTTCCCCAGTATTTCACCTTGTCTGACAGCATTTCATATATATTCTGTCTCAGCTTACTCCGGCTCTTTATCAAAGCCATTTGATGTTCACAATGGGTGAAATAGACCCAAGAGTCTATATTTTTACCGCTGCACTATTCACTCAAATAGAAATATTCTAGACGTCTTTCTAGATGTGCATTATTTTATACACCTTTCACCAAAATTCAGGCTGACATATTTGGTATTTGGAAACTTTGGGATTTCTACTGGAGTAGAAGTTATGTGTGTTTGAAAAAAGTTTGGCTGCACAGGGTGAGTGTGTACCAGGCTGATCCACCATAAAGTCTGAGTTTTTTAGCCAAGCTGGCAGCTCTAGGGATGGCTTTGTTGGTCAGTCGATCGGTCTACCACTTTGATCCATACTTCAAACAACTTTTGGATAGATTGTCATGAAATTTGATCCATGTATCTTTGGTGCCCAGACAATGAATCCTAATGACGTTTGTGAATCCCTGACCTGTCCTGTAGCGCCACCAGCAGCTTGACATAGGTGGTTTTGAGTGCAATGTCTTACCATCCATTGGACAGATTGCTATGGAATTTGGAACAGACAACCAAGATGAATTGTAAAGCCTTTAATGATCCTCTGACTTTTCATCAAGGCAGAAATTTGTGTTTGTCCAAGACGTTGGTTTATGAAATATCTGTAAAACTAATGACACTTTCTGTTTTGTGCTAATTAGCGAAAGTTAGCTTGGTAACAGACAAACATAATATTGTGAACATGGTAAACATACCTGCTAAACATCAGCGTGTTAGCATTAGGAGCATGTTAGCATGCTGATGTTAGCATTTAGCTCAAAAGTACAGCCTCAAAGGGCCTCTAGACACATGGATGGAAAACACTACACCATTTTTAACGAATCAAAGAGCTCTTAGACAGCTTGGGAAAAAAAGCATTTAGTCTCCTTAGGGGAATAAAGCTTGCATGTCATTAGTGCCACATGAAACAAGACAACAGTAAACATAATGTCCCCCCACAAATGTTGCAGCCCTTTCTGGGCCAATCTGTAACAAATATGACATTTTGTTTTGAGTGGAGATGAAACCCATCAGTGTAATTTTGAACATGTCAAGATGTATTGGCGAGATGCATCATCCCCCCAAGTTTCATCAAAATCCAGTCTGTGGTGTCAGAAGTATTCTATGTGGCAACTGTATGAATTCATGAATAATATAGCACCCCCTCGGGTTTATGAATATAAATTTATAATGCTGGAATACAGGAGTGAGATTCATCGTTGACCAAGTTTGATCACTACTGACAGGGGCTGTAGAAGTGTAATCCAATTATTCAGTTCAATTCAATTTACACTATTTTAGCAATGATTCAGTAGATCATAAAATCTCACATTCATTCACCAGTATATTTTGATTTGCTTAAAGCATAGAGCAATCCTACGATTTTTCACACAGAAGTTAATGGGGGGGTTGAGTAACGTCTTCTGTGGCTCTGTCATCTTGTGGGCATTTACAAAGAAAGGTCTAAAAAAGGATGCATTGCAATGTGAACCATACTAGAAAATATTTTTTTACTAATAGTATTTTAACAAAATATATGTTGCTTCACATTATATTTTTTTCAGAGGAATTGCAGGTCTACTGAATGATTTAGTGCCCCTTACAATCAAGATATGCTTATCAGGGTAGCTGTTTCTCCAAGTCTTATATCGAATGTGGCTAATCATGGGTAAATAAATGAAATATTTGTATGTTTTTATTAGTTTCCTCTGTGTTTGGCCTGTTCTTTCCCTTGCAGCCTGAAAAACTGTTCTGGTGGTTTGTTTGGTGTCCAATTTATAAGATCAATACTGCTGTTATTTATACCTCCAAAATGGCCTCTGAAAACTTAACTGAGCAAGTGTACAGAAAGCCAAATCCAGAGACCAATCTCCAACTCTGAGCTCATCATGGGGGACCACAACATGACACTAACCTGTCCTCTGTCTGCCTTGTCTTGCAGGAGTCCCACGTATGGCTCTCTCTGCGGGCGGGAGGGACTGTCTGCGTGCCGGGGACACTTGCTCCAGCGACGACACCTGCAGCCCGCGACTGCGCACCCTCAGGCAGTGTGTGGCGGGGGACGGCAGTGTGAAGCTGGGGCCCGGGGCACGAAACCAGTGTGAGAACGCTATGACGGCGCTGTTGTCCACTCCTCTGCACGGCTGCCAATGTAAACGAGGCATGAAGAAGGAGAAGAACTGCCTGAGTATCTACTGGAGTCTGCATCAGTCTGTGCTGCATGGTAAGACTGGCATTAACACACAGAATCTGATGGTTCTGTTCCAGAGAGGTGGGTGGGAGGAGGTACAATAAATTATTGGGATTATCAAGTGTGTGCCGCCCATTACACATGAATTAGGCCTCCGCCTCCAGACGGCTCAACAGTAAATTCCAGGCTGAAATGAAAAGAGTAATTATAGTGTCAAAAATAGTTAAAACTGAGCCTCCGATTCCTTTTGTTCCACCCACACTCATTGTATTTGATCAGTTTTGTGCTTATTTCAAATGCTTTGCACTACCATTGTCGTTTTCTTCACTGAATCCCATAATTTGTGGAATATTTACATTCAAATGTACGCATTAAGCAAATATTTGTATTTTCAAAACAAATTAAACGAGTGCAACAGTGGTTGCAAATGTGAAAGACATGGCATGGAGATCATTTATTAATGTAACAAACAGTAAAGCTCAGTTGCCTGAATTTCATACATCAACCATCATTATTTCCAGGCTGGAGGGAGTGTGCAACAATCATTCATGAGGAACAAGACACATACACAGGGTAGACTGCATAATATAAGTTAATAACTGGTTATGAAACAGTCACAATTTAATACTGATGTCTCTACATGACCTACATAAGCACACAAGTCCATCAGCGAGAAGATTGGCTATATAGTTATTCTTAATGGCTGCCCCCGTGTGGTATTCTGTTGGATTCAAATAAACGAGGCGGTGGACACACTACCACTTTTGTCCAGAGGGGCCGCCAGAATCAATTCAAAATGAAAGTTCCTTGTAGGAGCTTTACCTTGTAGGCTGTTTAACAGAATTAGTCAACAACCTCATCCTAAAATATTTTTCACTGGGACGCCTGGATAGCTCACCTGGCAGAGCTAGAGATGTTCAAATCTAACCTGTGGACCTCATCCCCGCTCTCTCTCCCCTTTCCTGTCTATCTTCAGCTGTCACTATCAATTAAAAAATAAGATGCCTAGACATCTTTTGACCAACACATCTTTAAATGATGTTTAGAGGCTGTGTTTGGTGTATTTTGACACAATTCTCAAGAACATTGACCTTATTTTAACTTTGTTATTTAAACAAGCTGTTTTTATTAACTCAAGCACGCTGCAGTTATCTGGCCTCTTTACAGCTCCTTTAGTCACGTCATGCTGCTTTGAGAACCCACATATTAAAGTGCTGATTGCTAGAAATGTTGTAGAACTAATAAGACTGTTAATTTGATTTCAACCTCATATGACCTGCTTTTGTATCTGAGTTCTGTATCTGTTTTTTGTAACTGTAGCAACTTGAGTTGAGTTGAACTTTTTTTTCAATTAATGTTAATTACTTTGTTAACTGGATTAATTTATTCTGTAATTAGCGCAAGTTAAGTTTAATATAAAGTAACAGTGGTCCTGCATTAATACTTTTGTGTCTGTGTTTGTTCTAGTTTCAGGTCCTTCAGTTTACTGTATGTTGTGCTCACATGGTGCACATTTAAAGTTTTGTTTATTAAAATTACCACAAACTAACTGATACAATAAAGCATGGGGGTCAGCCACTTTACAAAGTATGCAGTGCACAGAGACTTTGTACGTAACGTTTATGATATATAGTGAGTGTTTGTTGTCATGACAACGGTAACTAACCTCTCTCCTCTGTGTTGGCAGGGCTCAGCCTGGTGGAGAGCTACCCATATGAACCAGAGGAGAGAGGCTCTGACTACGTGCGTCTGGCCTCCATCGCTGCAGGTGACTGGGCGAGCTGCCACTGCTACAAGTCTTTCTCTGCTTCTGCCTTCAGTTACAGAGCAGAGGAAAAAAAAGCTATTCAAATAATCAAAAGCATCTATTTTTCACAAAACAACAAACTAATTGACTCCCAACCAAGTTCACAAGTTATGTGTCAAAGCAAGATAAAATCTAGATGTTATTCTGCATCATTTTGACGGAGTAGGCAGGTGAATATGCAGGTGGGTTTGCAAAGTGTTTGATGAGTAACAACCCACACTTTGCTTCTGTCTTACCTCTGAGCCTGTGGGCAAGCCGCAGGGCTGGTATGTGCTGCTGTTAGCCCCTGAGGCACAGATTAATTACCTATTTACTTTAATGCAGCTGGAAGCAACAAAACGGGGGGGTGGGGGGGGGACAGAAAG